TTCAAAAGAAAAAAAGATACATCAATGTGTAGGAAAAATATGGAAAGAATGCACATCAAGATGAAAATAGTGAGTGTGGCAGAGGTAGTTTAAGAATGTGGATGCTTTTTTCTTTTTTATGCTTGTTATACGTTCCAGGTTATTACCATTCAGCAGGTCTGACTTTTGTAGATAGGGAAATGATATAAAGATGAAACATCATACTAACTAACAGCAATGCTGAAACCTGTATATCTCTTAAAAGTGTGATTATACCAAATTCTTATTTTATGCCTATAGCTTTACATTTTCCAGACAATTCTAATTTCGACTCTTGATGGGCCTTCATAGAAACGTGTGCATTTTCCAGTCCCTCAATCTGCTGCCTTTGAAATCCTTGTTTATGGATAAGTTTCCTTTTACATCTATGCTGTTTCTATTCTATGTGCCTTGTATGGCGGCACATTTAAAATACTAGATAAAGGACATACTCACCAGGATCCTGACTTTAGAAATAGTATTCCCTTAGGACTGCCCAATTTCAAACTGACTAAGGTGGTTTACAGAATCCAATTCTGGTGAATTGTTTTCATACATTTCTGTATCCTATGTGTAACCACAACTCCTTGTATTTTCAGTTGTTTTCCCTTTTATATTAAAACATTTGTGAAACACATTTAGCATTTCTATATCCTACCCAGGTAATATTCCATGTCAAGAAGACTTTAATAGCCTCTGAAAAATCCCCCACTGAATTTTGATCACACCATCCTTTAGGGTGGTTTCATACTGTCAGTGGTTTTCATAGATATATTTATGACTTATTAAAATAGTTTATAATCTAAATTTAAAATCTTCTGTCAGCGTGTTTTGTGCCCATTGCCTTGGCAGAATTGTAAACAAGAATTTAAAATGCAATGCAAAGTATGTGAACTGTTGGATGGCCTCTTGGTGCTGCCGTGCATAAGGCACCTACTAGCTCTGATGGTTTCTGATGACTTCTATGGGTCTGGCTTGGCCATTGCAGAGGCTAAAATGGCCTGGTATGTTCCATCAAAAGACCACAGATACCTACAGAATGTTTCAAAGTAGCTATACTGAAATATGCCCATTGTTAGATGGAGGGAATTAGTGGTATTGAACAATGCAGCTCACAGGGAAGTATTACGGGTAATTGTATAAACAGAGGAGTCAATCGTCTTCTACTGCCAGGTAGTATCAAGCACTGGAACAGTAGAGGAGAGCATTTGGAATGGGTATCAGTGAATCCCTGTTTTCAATATTTTTCATTTATTTGAACATGTATTTCACTATTTCACTAGAGAATCATCAAAGAAAGTGACAGTATGGTGATCTATATAAGACATCGCACAGTTTTAATCTTGGAGAAAGTATCTAGGATTTCTGGGCCTCAGACATAAAAATAATGACAATAAAAAATGGTAATAACAACAAGAAACTAACATCTATTGTTAGTTTACTCTGTCTCAGGTACTGTTCTAAGTGCTTGAAATGCATTATACACTTTTATAAAATGTGTTACTTCCTGTTATGGTTTGGATCTCAAATGTCCCACAAAAATTAATATGTGAAAGGCTTGGTCCCTAATGCAGCAGTGTTCAGAAGTGAGGCTGTTGGGATCATGAGGTCTTGACCTCACTCATCAATGGATTAATTCATTGATGAGTTCATAATTTGATAGGCTATTGGAAGTTGATGAAAACTTAGGAGGTGGGACCTAGTCCTTGGAGACACACACTTGGGGAATATATCTTATCAGGGGCACCTTGCTCTCTCTCTCTCTCTCTCTCTCTCTCTCTCTCTCTCTCTCTCTCTCTGTCTCTGTTTCTTGCTGCCACCATGAGTTAAACTGCTTTGCTCCACCATACTCACTCTGACATGATGTTCTGCCTTAAGGTCCAGAAGCAATAGAGCCAGATGACCATGGACTAAAACCTCTAAAACTGTGAACCAAAATAAATCTTTCCTTCCATAAAAGATGAATGTCTGAGTTTTTTGTCACAGCAATGAAAAGTGACTAACATACTTCCTTTTATAAAATTTCTCACGCAGTTTATTATTAGAATTAAGAAAATAACCCAGTTCTTAGCACTCAGCCTTACCAATAATGTTGTCTTTTTAAAAAAGCTAGCTGTTTTGTTGTTGTTACTACATCTAAAAATAATAACAACAGCAACAGTAACAATGGTTTCCAGACTCAAATAAAATTCTAAGAGGCTTTTTAAACTTCTGTCTGTAGAGGAGATCTCAAGACTTTGTAATGTCCCAGAATTACCCACAACCTAGCTCAGTGCCTGGAGCAGATTATGGATATGTTTGTAAGTATACTTCTCAGGGAAGAGAGTATGTGGTGTTCCTCAGAGACTCAAAATATTCATTGCCCGAGAAATAAAAGACCATTGCTTTGAAAGAGCATTTGTCACTGTGTGAATAACAACTTGTAATGAGAATAATGAGGAAGTGGGGAGGAATGATCTGAGTTGGGTGGCTCCCCACCATGAGAGGGTTAGAAAATCCTTGTGATACCAGTCCCTAGTTTGGCTTTCCAGGACAGTTTCCTCTCCCTCTCTATACCTGGAAATTCCCATTTGTCTTCTTGGTACATTTAGATAGAGTCTGTAGGATTACTGGCTGTACATCTAGACTTTAATAGGATGATTCAAAGCCAGATAATTTCATTCTGGTTTTGTAGAATTCATAGAATGTTAGAGCTGAAGGAACCTCATATGTCATCTATTTCAGGGTTTTCAAATTTGTAGCAGATGTGCCACCACTCTCCTTCTGTACCCATGGAAATTCCTCTAACTGGGGGGAGCACTCTTTACTTCTGTGCCATCTGAGTCCTTCTTAACATAATACCATAAGCAACCATTACCAATTGATTGAAATGAACATGCATGAGGAAACCAGTCTCCAGCTGTATTGGATGTCTAATACCTTATTAAAGTTGGGGAAATCAAGAAGATGACATTTGATATGTCTGTGGATTCTACCTGAGCACTTTGAACTGAGTGATATGAAATTTTTGAGGAAGAAGGGCATGTTTTCAAACTACAACCATTTAAGTGCCAAATTTCATTTTCTTTGCCTTGCTGCTATTTTCCTCTATATTTGTTCCAAATAAAAAAGGAAACCCTTTTAAATGATCATTTAACTCCTTCCCACACACAAATCTACAAGGCAGTTAAAATGTGGCCCCCGAGTAATGAAAATAAACTGTAGTTATGATTTTAATTATTGTCCCATACTTTGTTCTTTTTTATTTTAAGCAAGATAGTTAACTAAAGGATCAGGCTTCTGGTCACTCTCTCTCATCTCTCAGTGTCCTTGAAAAAGTACAGTGTGGAAATTCCTATTCTTAAATAGAAAATACCTGGGGCTATTAAAACTATCTGAGGATAAGTCTATCCTTCTGGACCTCGGTTTCTCCTACTGTAATAGGAAGATACTGAATACCATGTAGAAAAAGAAAACTGGTTTATTCACATGAAATAGAAAAAAACAGCTCTCTGTTGAGCAGAAAAATATGAACGCTTATTTTCGTGTGTGTGTGTGTGTGTCTGTGTCTGTTTAGGAAAGCATATTTATTTAAGGTGAAGATTGGAGAGGGAAAGACATGAAATAAAGTGCATTCTCACATTTTAAGCTATTAATTGAAGAACACAGACCAGATTTGAAATTATTAAGCATTATTGCTGTTCATGTAGCAGAATATAATGTTCCCTCTGCATGATGAAGACATAAAAGACATAAACCTTGTCATATATTTTTCCAATTGAATCTAGGGGGAAATTTAGAATTTTAGGAGGATAAGCAAAGATCACATTTACAGTTCTGGCACAGGCTAGCTTTTTTTTTTTTTTTCCTAGTGAGGATGGTAAATGTGAGCAGGATAAGGAGAATTGCCAAAAACACATTGCTGTCTTCTGCCTTCCTTATCATATGCTGTAAGTAAACTGGCTTCAAGCCCATGCTTCTTTCTCCTTTGCATTTGCCCCTCTTTGAAATATGAAAGTTACAGATGTAAATTAGAAAATAAGCCAGTATTATATGAAAACATATTTATTGGCTGAATAATAAATACTTAGCTAAGGAGCTAATAGAATCAGAATCCCCTCCTTGAAGTACAAGTTTCCAATAAGCAAAAACCCCCAATGAGAAAGAATACACTGGTAATCTAAATCATAGGTATTTGAGGGGTGTGTTCAAACAATCTATTTCTTTGTAATTGACTGTGGCACTGATGACAAAGCATAGACATACAATGCAAGTCATATCAAATCAACATTTTCACTAGTGAGTAACCACTACAAAGCTTAAACTTCTTAAATGTTGTCACTTTAACTTACACAAACCCACAGAGGAACCTTGCAAATCTCCCTGCAAAGGGTGGATGAGTCCCTATAAGTTCTTAATAATGCTCTTACAAAAAAGGGAAAAGAACTCAAACCATCGTTAATAAATAAGAGAGAAAAAAGAAGAAACAAGCAACTTCCATGGGCAGGCAGACATGCAGAGCAACACCTTGGACCTCATTTGAAAAACAGTCATGTCAGCTTTCAGAACCCCAGAGAGCGGGCTTCACGTGGAAAGGAACTATGCACCATGTTCTTCGTGCATTTCCACATAATCTCCAGGATGAAGAAGTTAAATCAGTCCCTACAATAAAATGTATCCTTTTAGACATGGCAGAAACAAGTTATCTCTGCAGAATTATAAAGTCCCCTAGACAGCAAGCATTGCTTTAAAATTGCTTTTTGCGGGTGCGTAATCCATAGCAACCACATAAATAATGTACAAAACTAAAACCAAAACCATAACCACTCAACTTCTCAACGTTTTCTTTCTTTTTAAAGATGACCTCAGATTCATTCTCAAAGTGCAAATCTGGATATAAAAAATAACAGTTGTAAGGGGAAATTTAGCCCGGTCCTCTGTCTCCCATCTTTCACAATGGGAGCTGATTTAGTTCCTTCTCCCTGGCATTTATGCCTTTGAACCTATACTTTAAGATAATCATTTTTCAGCCGACCTAGCCTTGTCCCGTGGCTCCGGATGGTTAGGGCCAGCAGCTCGTATTTGTCCCTGAGCCCCACAGAAATGTCCAGCGTTTCCTTCAGCAGGGACCTGGTGTGGACCAGCATCCCCAGGAAGTCCTCATTGAGCCTGCTCTCCTGCCGGCTATCCTGCTCCTGGCCTTGCTTGAACTTGCTTTCCAGCTCGGTGAGGGACTTGTCGGAGTTGGAATAGGCATCCCCGATCTGGTGGGACTCCCGCCGCAGGTACTTGCCATAGCTCTCCTCCCCGTCCAGGTCGTAAGAGATGCTCTTACTGATGCCCTCCAGGACGCGCCCAGCGTCCTCCACCTGGCGGCCCAGCACGGTGAACTCCTCTCGGAGGGTGAGGCTCAGCAAGCTGCTGGCCTGGCCCCCTTCCCCCTGGGAGCAGCGCCGGCGGTCACTCACCCTGAAAAGTAGCTGGCACTTCTCGGGGTCATCGTTCTCTTCATAGTCCCCATCGGGCACAAAGTAGTGGTGTAGAGTCCCATTGGACATTTCTGGGTAGAGGGGACCATCAAAGTATCCTCTACACAGGTGGCAGAAGAAACCCATCCAGAGGAACTTCAGGAACACCATTCTGGAAATTCAGGATGACTAGGGACCCCGGAGAAGACTTGGGAGTCAGTGCCTCTCTGAGACAGCGTCCTCCTCGGTCCCCGCCGGCTTGGTGCACCCTGGTCCCCGCTCCCCAGCAGGCTTCATGTGGCTCTGCGCAACTGCGCCTGGGTAGCACAGCCGCGCAAAGACGCAGGATGCACCTCGCTCTGCCTTTACTTTGGCTCAGCGGCTGGAACTCCGTCTGGCTTCTTTCCAGCCAGATCACAACCCGAAGGGGTGTGGAGGTGGGGCGGGGGGAGGGGGCGCGGGGAGCTTTTGCAGAAAGCTGGCACGTCGCCCGCTCTGCTGCCCCTCGCTCTTGGAGTTCCCTCTCGCTCCTGGGAGATGGAGCATGCAGTTAAAGAGAAGGCTCTTGCTTTCTGACAATATTTCAACTCCCGGACTGGGTGGGAATGCGGAGCTTTTCCTTTGGCTAAAGATATCCCGAGGATCTTGGGGCTCTCAAATTACAGCTGGTTTCGTCACTTGGAAGCCAGGGAACAAATTTGGAAAGAAACCTCTCACCAGGTCTCTGTTATTAAAGGTACAGGGTTTCATTTTAAAGATGGAAAAGAGAGACCCTGCAAGGTAGAATTGAACTTGAAGGGAAAGATTAAAATTTCCACAACAAAAAAACCTGAAGGTAATTACTGAAGGGAAAGGGTGATTACTCAGGAGAAAGGACATTTCACATGTATAAATAAGATCAGGCTGAATTTGTCTATTTTTATTTTTTAAAAAACTCTTCCTTGGAGGACAAATTCAAAGTGTCAAGAATGGCAGTTTTGTTCGGAAATGGTTGATAATTAAAATTTATCTTTTTAAGATCAAAAATTTAAATTTGTCAGTTTGATAAATAAAAGAACAACTGACATTATTGTTTAATTTTATTCAAAACCATCTATGCTAAGCTCCTGTTTGAGTGTCCGAGCTAATACTTTACAGCTAATGCCACTTTGGAGATGCTTGCGAGCTTTTGAAGACTATATGGTAGTATAGTTATCCTTATTTTCCAGAGGAAGAAAAAAAAAAAAGAAGGTAAAGCTAATTGTTTATAGTCATACAGGTTGTAGTAGGGCCATTAAGGCTCAGGATCTTATAATTTAGTCTGAAAAAGAAACTTTATTTTTTCCACTAGGACATTTTAGTTTCTGATACATGAATTAATTGACAAATGGCTACCCTATACAGGGCATTTGTTCAACAGATACTTATTGGACATTTACTATGTACCAGGTTCTGTTTTGGGTATTAGAAATACAGCAGTGAACAAAAATAGAGATAAACTCTTTCCGTCTTAGAATTTTTTTCTGGGAAATGGAGAATTAAAGTAAAAAATAAATAAGTAGTATATACTGTATATTGGACAGTGGTATGGTTGCAGAGCAAAGAAAATAGGGAGTGGGTAGGAAAGCAGAAGCAATCAATACTTCTATTCTCGTGTTTATTTTCTCTTTCTGTCTTGAAATATAACTGGGACCACTCATGTTGATTTGCCAGCCTTCCAAATCTATCTCCCTCGAGTCACAAGGGGCTGGGTTCATTCAGAGAGTGTGTGACACAATTATGGGACTGTCACAAATCCTTTTCACCACTTTCACTGATATAAGCAACCCAAACTCCTGGAATGACAATGAGAAGTCCAGTTAAGTAACTGGATACTTTGTTGATGTGGTATTGCATGTGTGGATCATTTGAGACATGTTGACAGCACATTTTAGTTCTTATCCAAATACTCGGCATCATGACCAAAGGATGTTTCCTTAGTGTTTTGTAACAACTGAAGACCAAGGCTAATTTTCACTCTATTTCAGTAGAAAACTACAACATTCTCTAGTTGAGACTGGACTGTTGGACTCAGCCACATTGCTTCATTTCTTTTTCCCTGAAACATTCACAAGTGACAACAGACGAATTCAGATTGAGTGTTTGGGCAAAGAAGAGAAGAGGAATTTACTCTGATTTACTCTGCTTCTTGCACAATTCTTCCCTCACTTACTAACCAATTCAGTTAAACAAACTTACACTAAGCACTTATTACTTGATTCCCTACTTACAGAGTGTAGTGGTAAGTTAGCTATAAAATTGTGCAATGAAAATTTTCAGCATGTAGCACCCTTGTCCTCTGGTTATAGAATTATGTACATAGACACATAAAGTCATGAGAAGAAAAGAGTATTTACATTTTTTCCTGTCATTACCACATGTGGAGATACAAATTTCATGCCATATTATCAGAAAGGAATCTGAAGGTAAGTAAAGATAAATTTCAGCATGATTAAAAGCAATGTGAAATTCATTGACTCACATAAAGTTTGAGATTAGAGTTTTTCAGAGAAGACTTTGTTAGGAACCTAGTTTTTCTCTCACCATTCTTTGGTTCTACTTTCTCGGCTTACATTCATTCTTGGGCGGTCTCTTTCATTTGCAGTTCTGAGATGATTACCAGTGGGGCTACATGCTTCTTTGTTTATCTTGGACAGGAATGACAGGTTGGATTTTCTGGTAGCTCAAACTCAAGCCATTCAAATCAGTCTCAATGCTCGCAATTGGCCTGATTTGGATCATGATGGGATAAGCCACATAGCTTAAGAAAAGAATAGTCCAATTCTGCAGCTGAAGGCAAGGTACTATATGAACTACTGGCTATGTAATTTACAGTCCTGTTTGGGAAAGCAGCTATATGAGACTAGATTCTATGGAGTGACTGTGAATATTTCCACTACCTCATACCTTTGTCTTCATTAACCACGTCTGGAAGGTACTGCAGTAGTATGCTCGTAAGTGCTTAGCAACTGATTGAATAGGAGAAAAGGGGCTATAGCACTCGCTGATTTTCATAGTATAAATACTCTTACTGTTGCCACATCACTGAATGCAGAACTGGGAAATAAGTGTACTAATGCATCATTACACAGGATTCTAATCATACAGGTAGCTTAGGGGCACATAACCCTAAGAAAATAGAAAATTAAAAATCTAGTAATTAGAAGTACTGAATTTTATGTTTATATATATCCTTTATTTTAATATTGCTAATTGTATGTTTAAATGCTTTTTTGTCTTTTTTAAATAATGGCTATGTTTAACAACTAACTTGCAAGATTGCTGGAAGCCTAACAATCAGCTCTTGGGAGTCAGTGCCATCCACCTCCAACATACCATGGGCTTTTGATTAAATACTCCATTTTGCTTACTTTTAAAAGGTTTTATTCATAGGCATTTCATATATGCCCAATTTTATCTTAAGCTACTCTGCTAGGTCAGAGGTAAGTTTGCTTCTAAGGGCTAACCTAGAATAAATGGAGCCAAAGGAGATGCCCAGTCACAGAGATGCCAGACAGAGGACTTTGAAGAGTAAAATCAAGCAATACTATCTGCTGGTAAGAGCAGCAGTTGAATATAGGGCTGAAAACAAGGGACAAAGGGGAAAAAAACAGAACTAGGTAAATTTAAGGATAAAGGAGACCTCAGGAGTGGTGACTCAAGTCATATAGGAAGGTAAATGAGACCATTGCCCAATCTCACCTCTTTATATGCATGTAATGCCTGCAACACAGTGCCAGCAAAGTTGGCTTACTCATTTTTATTGCACTTTAAAATCTTGTTCCTTTGAACCAATTACCACTTTAGAGAAGAAGCAGGAATTTAGGTTTGCACTATGTGCTTTGAAGCTATGTGACTTTCCTTTGTCAAAAGCTTTGTGATCTCCTGATCTTCAATAATTATGGTAATAGTAGAACTTTTATAGTAAAGTGGATTGTATGCATGGAGAATAAGGAAAGTTTGAGGAAATTAGGTCCCACTATGAAGTCTAGAAACCCAGAAGACCCTAGCTTACTCCCAACATATCCCAAACAGTCAGAAATGTATCAAAGACAAAGGAATGTAGGATGTTATCTTGAGACATGATAGAGGTTCTGAGATGGGAAGAATGAGGAAAGAAAAAAGGTGGGGATGATATAGAAAAGGACAGAGAATTTAATGCTTTGGGGATTATTTTAATAAAGCAAGAGGTAATCAGTAGCATTATTAAGCTGCCATTGTTTATAGAAGATAGGAAGGACAACAGAGAAGAAATGAATAAGAGAGGGAAAGAAGAAAGTGATGTAGGAAAGGAAATAAGCTAGCAAGAATGAAAAGAAGGAAGAAAATAAATGAGAGTGATATAAATTTTATCTAGTCTGTGTTTTATCTAACTCAGTGGCCATTGTTATTTATTACAGGATCATTGGTAAGGGAGAGGGAGAGAACTAATCAACAAGAATGTTCACAAATCAAATTTCCCATTAAAGATAGGGAATAAAACACATATATGGAAATAATGAGACTGCTGACAAGGTAATAAGTATAACATCACAAGGGGGTCTGATAAGTTCTTAAAGTCTTTAAATTAGTCAGAACATTCTGTGTTATAGTGTAATAACAAACACTACAAAATGCTAACAACAAATTCAAATTCACTGCAGGTCAAGGTAGCTCAGTAACTCTTCTATATGGTAACACTATTGTACCATCTGAAACATATGACCTCCATGATTTATATGGCAGAGGAAGAGGGCTCTTAAGAGTCTTGTGCTCAGAAGGGTCATATGTCACTTTTACCTATAGCCCATGGGCCAGTGACATGGTTTTAACCTGGTGCAAAGGGAGGGGGAGTATTATCTTTTTGTGTGTCCAGAGGAGAGGAACACCAGATGTGGATGAGTATCTGGTGTCTCTACCATACTTTTCAACAGGAGCAATACCTGTTAGAAATATCTTAGAAGTGTGCAACAGGAAATAAGTATGTACATATTCTATAATAATGTAAATATTTCATATATTCAGTCCAAATATAAAATAGAAGTAAAAGAAAAGCACTTACTTCATAGTACTACCAGATTTAATGAGTTTAATTCTTTCCCTCATTTCATCCATGAATACAGTACAAAAAAAAAAAATCCTAGAGGGGAAGAACTAAGGAAAGTAGAAGAAGTGGAGGTAAGAACTAGGTCTGGAGGAAAGGAAGGAGATCTAGGGGATAGGGTTTCCAAGAAGCTAGAGGGGAAAAACTAATCTAAGAAGTGGGTACATTATGGATCGACTTGGCTGAAAGGGATTCTGGGGACACAGGTA